ACGGGCGGAGGTATCCAGAGGTCTCCGAGAGGGGCGTGAGTGAGAGGACAGGCGGGGGTGTCCGTAAGTGGTGGGGCAGCGGGGCCGGCTGCCTCCCACCCCTGATCCCCCTCGGAGCTGGGGCGAGCCAGCAGCGTTCCTCCCCGCTCCTCCAAGGATGCAGTTGGTGCATGACGCAGCAACTGTCAGAGACCTGGACTTAGGGCACTGCCGCACTCTGAAAGAGTACTGAAACTGTTTATGAAATGAGTGCTTTGTAAATGATAAAGACTAAATAACACATCCTATGCATTTGCATAAGTTTGAATCACTTATTCTTCTGAGGGCTGTAGTCATTTGGCTCATGTTAAAGAACGCTTAACGGTGTAATTGAGCTCAAGCCGACGGTTGCCGAGCTGAGTTGTTGCTGAGAGAGAGGGTGTGTTTTTTGGGGAGACTGTGTGTGTTCCCTGTAACGTCCCCGGCACCGTGGAGCGGTGCCCAGCGGGCTCGAAGCACTGCGGGTGGGACAGGTGGGAGGGACGGTCAGGGCTGCGAGGGGTCCAGTTGTCTTTCCAAAAGAGCTAGAGACCTGGAGCCGTGGAAGCGGGACGCATCTCCGTGCTGATAGCATGTAGGGTCATGACCTTAGCAGAGGCACTAGTGAAAAAAACTTTTGCTCTGAGCTGGGTGGGATGGAGAGTGTTACCAGCTGGAAATACTGGAGAAACACATCTTTACCTTGCGCAGTGACAAGGTGACGGTGAGCCGCAGGGATGGCGCTGGGCAGAAGGCGGTGAAGCGGGGTACTGGAGGAAGTAAGTCATCTCGAGGACTGGGAGTCAGCTGAGAGCAAACTCCAAGAACCTGCTTGGTCTGAGTGGTGAAACGAGCCCTGACAGGGAGGTGGTGTAATTCATTTTTATCATCGGGGAAATAAGCTTCAGGGATAGGGAAAAGCTGTTTAAGCTGGTGGATCAATGTTGGCATGAAAACAAATGGATAAAAGCTGTTCAGGAATAAATGCTAGGCTGAAAATTAGAAGTTTTTTAACTATTGGAGGAACTCAGTTGTGTAGTAGGGATCGGAGACGGAGGCTGAGGAAGAGTGTTGTCAGTATGTTGGGGTCCGTCGCTGTGATCGGGGTACTTGGACGTGATGCTTGTAATGGAGAGCCTGAGCTGGTGGTCTGTGAAGGCAGCGCCTTGCCCATCTGCATCTGGGTGTGGTGGTGGATTATCACGACGGCATCGTGTCCAAGTAGGAAAGGGGAAACTGTCCCTTGCTGTCACACTTTTAAAAGTGGCTGGATGAGAACATGTGCTGAACGGAACCACTTCTTCCCCAGGATGGAGAATTCGTGTCATTAAGTGACATTTTAACCTTTACTTTACATTTAGTCTATGAATGTCTGTCCTCTTATGGTCATTTATGACACATGTTTATTTTTTTTTCCTAGGTATTTTTATGGCCTCTGTCACAGTGGTGTCTCAGTGTCTCCAAGGCATTTATGGATTTATTCTGAGAACGTTCCTGTGAGGTAGGGAAATGTTCTCACCTTTGTTTTACAGACTGGGAACGAAGGCACAGGGAACTGGGAA